TAACCCAGTCCTGTACAGATCATGTTTAGTGTTCCCTTTTATGAAAAGCATTCTATTTCCTGCTCTTGATTCCCTGACCTCTGGCAAAGCGTGTGAGACAGATGCTGGTAAAAGAGGTGGAGTAGAGTCCATGAATCCTAGGTGGAACTTTGGAGATGTTCCTTGGTCTCTGAGTCAGCATGAAAGCCAGCCAAGAAGATGAGCTGGAAGGGACAGGTGATATAACCATCCCTGACAACAGGAGATCAAAGAATGATGGCCTAAACAAGGCCCTAACCCACAAAGGTCATGGCTGCTCGTGTACTGCACCTCTAACTCTTCTGGAGATGCTTTGGTTAAGGAAGGAAAGGTGAGAATGGATAGACTAACATTGGAAGGACCCGAAATCAAATCCTCAGTCAGCCATGTTAGTTCTTAGATGACTTTAGGCCAATCATTATATGACAAGGTAAACAATCATACAGGATTGTTCTAAGGGTAAAGTAGAAGGAGGGATCTAATCCAATCCTGTATAGTATCTTGATTTTTTTTTTTAAGGAACAAAATTCATCAATTTCCTAACATAACCACATATTCTTGTCCAAGGACATAACACCTCTTCTCTTCCTGGTTCAGTCATACCAAAAGTCCTGAGATCACAGAGGTTAGATCAGGGGTCAGCAACCCGCGGCTCTGAAGCCGCATGTGGCTCTTTCATCCCTCTGCTGTGGCTCCCTGTTGCTGGTCAGCTCCACAATTGATAGGGCTTTCGGTTAGGACAGGTAGAGGAAAAAGGATGCCGCGCTAGGAGGAGACTCTATGGTGGGGGAACCGGACTTCCGGTGAGCAGAGGAAAAAGGATGCCGTGCTAGGAGGAGACTATGATGGGGGAACTGGACTTCTGGTCGGCTCCAGAATTGAATGGGGGCTTCCGGTTAGGACCTTTGTGGCTCTTTAAGGTTTAAAGTTGCCGACCCCTGGGTTAGATGATAGAGCAAGTGAAACCCCCAGACTCTGTTGAATCAAGATAGAAGAACCCCCATCACATGAATTTGCCCCTGCCTAGTTTGCCTCATTTCCAAAACACCGCACAAACCTTCCCACTTTAGACCGTGTGGTTTGTTTTAATAAACAAATCAATAAAAAGTTCTTTTATGGCAGGGATGACTGTTTTATTGTGAGGACGTCTGGCTAAATGCCAGCAATCATTGCTTTTGAGTCCAGAGTTTCAACACAGTGGCCAGCGCCAAGAATATCTATAGCCTTGCCTTGACTCCTAGGTTCAATCACTTCTTGTGCAGGTGAAGGTTTTCTTTGAAGTGATAGCATCAAGGCTGTGGAGATATGACCTGATTATTCCAAGGACGGCAGGAGGCAAAGCTCTGGTATCACCCCATCCAAGGATGCCTTATGACAATTAGCTTTGTTTGATTCTATCTTAGCTGAGGTTCATCCTCCAAAGCACCTGAAAGTAGAACAAGAAGCAAAGGATGAAAACTAATCAAGGAGCGAACCAATCCAGAACTAAGGAGAGATTTCCTGACAGTGAGAACAATTAACCGGAGCTTGCCTCCAGAAGTGCTCTTATCACTGGAGGTTTTAAGAAGAGATTGGACAGCCATTTGTCTGAAATAGTATATGGTCTCCTGCTAAGGAGATTCCTTCCAACTCTGTTATTCTGTTATCCATTCATGCATGGCCATTCATGGCTAGCTTTGCGCAGATTCAACAAATAAAAAAAAAATCTCTAGCTTGTATGTGGTTCTACTCAGGGAAACGGTCTGTGTTTCTAAAAGGGAATGCTATTAAGACTCACCTCATGGTGATAAGAGCAGTGAGACATCAATGTTTCTCCATTCTTATTGCATCTGCAGAGTGTTGCATCCAGTGGTGGGCTACAACTGGTTTAACAACCGTTTCTGTGACTGTGGGCTTTGCATGCGCTTGCGCTTTGCATGCTCGTGTGCACTTTGCACGCTCACGCGCCTAACACACTTGCGTGCAGCGTTCGAAATACAGCAATTTGAAGCTCAGCTGCTTACCTTCTAAGGCAGCTCCGTTAAGTAGAACAGCGGAGGCGCGGAAATCAGCTGCGCGAATCAGCTGAGCCAGAAAGAAGGGAATATAGGGCAGAGGCAGCTGGGCAGGGCCAATTGATCGTTAGAACTACCGGTTCGCCCAAACTGATCCGAACTGGCAGCAGCCCACCATTGTCAGATTGCATCCTGTTCAGAGTTACCCAGTCTCTTTTGAACAAAGGAGACTCTGAGATCCATTTTCAGGGCCATGCTGAGGCATTTTCAAGGCACCTGGCAGATAAAATCACTCAGATCTGTTCTTGAGCATGGTGCAGATCCTTTTGAGATGCCCAGTGATCTGGGAATGGCTTGATTCTGTTGGGCCTGAGAAACTCAGGACTGTAAGCACAGTCACCTGTGAATTAAATTTGTCTCCCTCCTCGTTAGTCAAGACTGCTAGCAACAGTTAACTCATCATTGAGAAAGAGGGTGTCCCAGGACCTATGAAGGAAGTGCTAATGCACTCTCTTCTCAAGAAGCCAGCACTGGATCCCACCATTCTGGATAACTTTCTTCCAGTCTCTCACCACCCGTTTTTTAGGAAAAGTAATGAAAAAGGAAGTCACATTGTAGCTCCAGAGGATCCTGGATAATGTTGTGGCTCGCTGGCGGCCAGCGGAGCTGGAAGCAGAGTCAGACAGTGAGGAGGTTGGGGAGGAACATGGGCCAGTCCTGGGGGCTGGGGAAAGTTCGGACGAGGACTCTGCATCAGAGGCAGAGAGGGAGATAGACAGCAGTGAAGCAGAGGAACAGCTGGAGCCCGTTCCCAGTATGTGCATGCGCAGAGTTGCCAGAAGACAAGAACAACTCAGAAAGCAGGGTCGACTTGGGAGTAAAGCCACACCTTGGAGCTGATTGGCCCCTCCCATAGGAAATAAAAGAGGAGCGAATGGGGAGGGGGCTTTTGCAGGAAACAATTTGTTCGTTTGGTTGTTTCAAGAGTGAAAAGTTCTGTTCATGACTCTAAGAGATTCTGTGCCAAGTTTTGCCTTATTCTTCGTTTGGAAACAAGTTACGTGGCAGCTTGCCAAGCAAGATGGATTGAGATGTGTGTTGAGAAATATTCCTTTGAAAAACTGTTTGGACAAACCTTGCTGACTGTGAATGAAAGTAATTCATGGTCGTGTAAATAAAAGAGGTTTTGCCGGGACCAATTCCTGCTTCCTGCTTTTTAAGGGAGCCTAGGTCAGAACAGATAACATAGATTATCTGGACCCCTTCCAGGCAGGTTTCAAGCTCGGATATGGGATGGAAACATCATTGGTTTTGTTCTTGGACCATCTCTGGTGGGAGCAGTATGGGGGAGAAAAGGATCCATCTTGGTTCTTCTTAATCTCTCAGCAATGTTCAATACTATGGTATCCTTTTGGCTCGGCTCTAGTATGTGAGAATGGGTGACACAGTTTTAAGCTGGTTCACTTCCTTCCTCCAGGACTGATCCCAACTGATGTTGATAGGGAGTGAGAGGTGTAACCCACGGCCCCTGTTTTGTGGGCTGTCACAAGGCTTGGTAGTTTCTCCTCTCCTTTTTAACATCTACATGAAGCCACTGGGTGAGGTCATCTGTCACTACAGGATGAGGTACCATCAGTATGTACATCTCCATCCCAGATGAAGCAAGCAGTGCTGGGGGGGGGCTAGTTGGGGGACAACAGCCTTCAACTGAACTCTGGTAAGATGGAAATTTGCGGAGGTTACCATGTTTAGTCTTGGATGGGATAGCACTGCCCCAGACAGACCTAGTACGTAAAGTGGTGGCCCTCCTGGACTCATGCCTCATGTTCAAGGAGCAGGTGGTAGTCATGGCTAGGGGAGCCTTTGCTCAACTTTGGGTGGTGCACCAGTTATACCCTTCCTGGATTGAGAAATTCTCCTTTCAGTCACTCATGTCCTGGTCATCTCCTGGATGGACTACTGCAATGTGCTCTACGTGGGGCTACATTTGAAGAGTATTTGGAAGCTGCAACTGGTGCAGAATACAGTGGAGCAAGCAGTTTTTGAGGACCTCTTGAGTGGCGCATGTAACACCTTTCCTACATGAGCTGCACTGGGGGCCAGTTTGCTTCCAGATCCCATCAAGGGGTTGGTTATCACTTTTAAAGCCTTTCATGGCATGGAACCAAGATACCCGAAGAACCATCTTGTCCCAATTAGATCAACCCATCCTACTCAGTCAAGCAGGGAGAGCGTGCTGCGTATCCCATCAGTCAAAGAATTTCAACTGACAGAATCTAGGAGAAGGGCCTTCTCAGCTGCTGCCCCTACCCGTTGGAACATCTTCAGTGGTGATATTCAGCTGCTTCAGACCAGTTCGGGCGAATCGATAGTGCCGACCTGAGGGTAGGCCTGCCCACCAACCCTGGCGCTATGCCATCCTATTTAGCCACATTTTGTGCAAGCCACGTGCACGAGCAAAGCACATTACATTTTTGGCGAACCGGTGGTAAAATTATGTGAAACCCACCTCTGAACATCTTACCCTCAAAGGTGAGGTGAGCCCCCCCCCTTTTTCTGGTTTTCCAGAAGGTCCTGGAATGATGCAGGCCTGAGGATGGCTGGTGGTTTGAGGACTTTCCCACTGTCTTGCTGACCTTTAAGCCTTCTGAATTTTTAACTTTGATTTTTATTTTTACTTTAAGTTGTAACTTGTTCTTAATTCTGTTTTTAATCTATGCTTTGATTCATATGTTTTTATTGCGTTGTAAACTGCACAGAGTCACTTAGGTGAGGTGGGAAGTGTAGACATTTAATAAATAAAAATAAGAAGGCTGTGGGTCCTCCAAGCTTTATATGGATTTTTTTTTTTTTTTGGCTGACTGTCAGAGCAAGTTTAAATTTTATAAGCCTATGTACATTCAATGTTTCTCTTATTGGCGAAACCTTCAAAGCCAAGATTTTATTCAGCTGATCCCCTTTGGAAGAAAGAAAACAAGATCTCGAATCTATTTCCTGATCTGCTAATTTTATTTTCTGCTTAATTATCTTCCCGCTCCAATTAAATCTTCTCTTATAAATAATATAAACTAACAACAAAATCATATTGATATAAACGAGAATAAGTTAAAATAAATAAGACAACAGGATAAAAACATCAGAACAATGGAACAAGTTGAGTTTCCTCAGGGATGCTTGGAGGACAGAGTGACAATCAGCTTCCTCTCTCCCACAAAGCACATCAGAAAGCCCACAGATTTATTCCTTATGAACATTATTACTTAATATTTTGGTTGGTAAAGTGCGTGTTCCTTAAAAATTCAGGAGGAGATCTGAAATTATCTGTTCCCCTCCTACAAAATACATGACCTACTTGTGATATTAAAAAAAAAGAAACAGAAAGAAGCATTTTTTGGGCATTCAGTGGAGGAATTCTGTATTACAGAACAAAAAAAGATGCAACTAGGGGAAAAAAAGAGCATAAACATATATCCAGTGGGGAATTTTAAATCATCATTCTGAGCTTGGGCCCAGTACTTCTTCACAGCAGCTCCCTGTATTTGCACATGTTTTGTTAAAAAACATCCTCCAGATCTTTCCTCCAGATTCAGAACCTGAAGATGCAATTTCCATTTCTATCATTCACTTATTTATAATGATGATAAATGACACTGGAATATCATCCTGTGATCTCTGATTGGCCTTGCAGGGTGATAATGATCCCTGATAGACTGAGATGATTGGCTGGGAGGAAGATGGCCCAGTTTTCCAAAAAAAAAAAAAAATGGTGCTAAAGGAGCAGCTAATTTGGGCCTTGAGTAATTGCTGTATAAGAATGAAAGACGTTCGTAGAGAGGATAGCAACAGCACTTAGACTTATATACAGCTTCACAGTGCTTTATAGCCCTCTCTAAGCTGTTTACAGAGTCAGCGTATTGCCCCAACAATCTGGGTCCTCAGACACTTATTTTTCCAAGAAAATGTCCACTTTCACACGAAAAAGGGCTCAACTCGATATGAGTTCATTTAAAAAAAAAAAAGTCCATTACTTTTGCACTCCTTGATTTAAGCAAACGGGATGCCTCTCCTCCCAGAGGCCCCCTCCCCAACTTCACGCACAGTGACACCGTGTAACGATCATGTCATCAAAGAGTTGGGTGGCCACATTCCCATCATCGCCATAATGCATAAGCACCATTGGCTCATAGGCGGCGGGAACACAACACGGTGCTGGCGTCTCCCCGGAAAGGCTATGCAACCTGGCCTTGATCTGGGCATGCATGCTGGCTGGTTTGTAGTTGTGCGGGCAGGAACCCTCACAGAACTTCATAGAGTAGCTTCGTGGGGCCACCACCCAGTCCGACCACCCAATGGCCTCGAAGGAGACCTTAAGGGACCTCAAGCAGCACTTCCCATCACCCTTCCTGCATTCTTCCTCATCCAGCTGCCTGGCCTTCCTTACTGCCTTTCGAGTTTCGGCCTCTATCGTCAGGGACGGCATCCCTGTCCCTTCTTCTGCCATGCTAGTAGCCAGCCACGCAGCCTCGTCTGACCTAAACTCCAGGCCCAGATTCAGCTTGGGCTCCGAGCTTCCTACCCATTGTTGTACCACACCCTTCAGATTGAGGCTTGGTGAAGTCCTTGAAATCTCTTGGGAACTGAGCAGCTCGGGGGTTACTTTCTCCCTTTTGGACAGTTGGTAGAGATTCACACGTACTGGCCATGTTACGTTGGATAGAGCATTGCTAGGAGAATTGAGCAATTCTTTGAAGAGAGTCAATTCAGCCCGGAGAACGTTGAGGTTATGATGAAGTTCTGATGTCCTGGAGAATTCCAGATGCACATGTGCGGCAGCCTGAAGATTTCCAGATGCGGACTCATTTGTGTGCACAACTGTACAGAGAGGAAGACAGATAGAATAGGTTATCTTTAGTTGCTAAGCTACTGTCGGTAACCCAGCCGTGTGTAGTTCATATAGCAGTGCTTTTCAACCTTGGCAACTTTAAGATGTGTGGACTTCAAATCCCAGAATTCCCCAGCCAGTGGGAGTTGAAGTCCACATGTCTTAAAGTTGCCAAGGTTGAGAAATACTGCCCTACAGCTAAACTACCACCTCAATCACCGCTTCATATTGCTATTTTCTGAAATGGATAGGCAGCCACTTTGGAGCTTAAAATTACTTGATCTTTGAATTATATTCTGGCTGCTGCACAGTCAATGCGACTTTTAACTTGATTTTAGTAAAGTTAAGTGTAATTAACTTTTAAACAATTAAACTAATTAAATGGACTATATTGATTTATTACTCTATAGTCTGTCAACCCTTTCATTATATTCTTGTGTAATTAATAATCATCCTTTTGGTGGGAAAACAAAAATATAGTTTGATAGCAGAAACTGCAGCCAAAGTTTGGGGGGCTATGTGCAGCCCAAGAGATACAAGATCAGCACCCTATCCTTTAATTAATCCATTTTGTTGCTGCTGCTGCCTCCTTAAAGGACGCTTGGGAATCAGGAGTGATAAGAGATAGTTGGGGTGAAATTTTTTTTAGAGTTTTCCCCATGTCTCCTTCATATTATTTGTAACAAAAATACCTAAATTATGTATTTGCATAGCAGCAATATAATACTATTTTTAACAAAGAAAACAGATCTAAAGGAGACAGAAAAGGAAAACCAGTTGCTGTAGTGGTTAAGTACTGGTCTAGAAACCAGGAGATTGTGAGTTCTAGTCCTGCCTTAGGCATCAAAGCCAGTTTTGTGACTTTCGGTCAGGGGTGAAATGCTCCCGGTTCGGATCCGGTAGCGATGGTGGTGGATGGTTTGGAGAACCGGTAGCAAAAATCTCTGCATCCCCCCCCCATGCCCAGCTGAGCCGCACGATCATCAGAGGCTTTTCTTTTTTTACTTTTAAAAGCATTTTTTCTACAACCTCTTCTGGTGAAAAAATGCTTTTTAAAGTAAAAAAAAAAGCCTCTGATGATCGCGGGCTCAGCTGGGATCATCAGAGGCTTTTCAAAGCATTTTTTTCTGCAATCTTTTGGCTGAAGAAGTGGTAAAAAAAAAATGCTTTGAAAAATCTCTGAGGATCCCAGCTGAGTTGCCTGATCGGCAGAGAGGTATTTTTTTAAAAAGCCTTTCTGACGATCCCAGCTGAGTTGCCTGATCGGTAGAGGCTTTTCAAAGCATTAGAAAAAATGCTTTGAAAAGTTTTTTTTTTAAAAAAAGTTGGCCACGCCCACCCAGTCACATTACCCCCACCACCACCAAGCCACGCCCACAGAACCGGTAGTAACAAATTTTACATTTCACCCCTGCTTTCTGTCCATCACTCTTCCTCAGCCCAACCCACCTCACAAGGTTGTTATGAGGAAAATAGAAAGAGAAAGGAGTATTGTTGTGTTCACTGTCTAGAGTTATTTATAAAAATAAGAAAGGTGGGATAAAAAATGAATTTTAAAATGTAGATTTATTTATAAACAAATGGAGAGCTATATTAAGGATAAAATGACCAAGGATTCAAAAAATAAAACACAATAAATCAACTTGTCAGGTGTGCCTCCGTTCAAAACTCAAGAAAGAAAAATCCCAACTCCATGTTTGTAGAGAAAGATACTTAGTATGAACTGAATGCAACAGAAAGAAAGCAAAGTCTGAGGCAATAGGTGCAAAAATTACATATTGAAAGCATCCCCAAATCCCTCTCCCTAAGGACCCAAGTTGAATGTCCAATCCATATCTCCCCAAGGTGTCATGTGTGGTGCTTCTTCAGATAGTCCCATCTATCTGGTATGCCGGAACGGTTGACCTTGACTGCTATCAGCACTCCCTGCAGCTGCTGCGAAGACAGTGAGAATTTCCCCCCACCACCACCACTTTCACGAGACATCTCCACCAGCTCACTTCCTCCCCTCCCAAATACTTATAATACCTCCCTACTCCCGTTACTATGGCAGCCGAAAGCAAGCAAGCATCATAGAGGCTGACACAACTATAGATTGACACGAAGAATAAATATTTATTTATTTAAATTTATATGCCACCCATCTCACTATGCCAAGTGGCTTCTTCACTAATCTTCTGAATTCTTGGGGAATGCTAAGAATGGGAAGGGGAATATCAAGCAAAGTCCATGAGGGGTCCTCAGAAGCCTTTGAAAAACACTCTTAGCAAAAGTTGGAAGTATATTTAATAATCATACGAGAAATGGAGCTTAGGAGCAAGTCCAAACTTCATATATTATAATACACTGAAGTAAATAACCAGAGATTGTACTGAATAGCTCCATAAAGATAGAAGCTCAGAGTGCAGTAGCTGTTCAGGAGTCGTTGCTTAGTTCACACAGTACTTGAACTATGGAATTTGCTACTGCCAGATACAGTAGAACTGTAATGGTGAACCTACGGCGGAGCCATTTCTGTGGGCATGTGTGCCGTCGGCCTAGATCAGCTCCACCGTGCATGCAGTTATGGATATGCATAATGCCAGCAGTAGGATAATTCCTTATATAAGGAAGCATAAGAAGAGCATTATTATATTTTTGCCTTAAGCATCCCAAAGACAATTTGTTGGCCGCTGTAGGAACAAAATGCTAGACCAGAGGAGCCTTTGCTCAGATCCAGGATAAATTCTTGATATAGATCATGGTGGTTAGCTCACAAGTCACCTTAAACTTTGAATACATTTTTTCACATGAAGCCACTATCTGAGTTGAACTGTAATGGCAACTGTTTGATGCACATATTCTGCATCAAGGAGAAACATTTTTATTTATTCAGATAATGAACACATTGTTAGGTTATTTTTATCTCGTTGCACTAAATCAAGGCTTACAATTGCTGCATTTTTATCATTATTGATTTTGTTGGCTTTATGGTGATAGGCAGGATAGATGAATAAAAGGAGAGAGGAGGAGAGAGAGAGAGAGAGACAGACAGACAGATAGAATTTATGACCAGTTTGACACAAGAAATAACAAGATCCAGGCATAAGGTAGTATGTCTTTTTGTTGTTCTATATTTTGGTTTTGGTTTGTAAAGTTACTGCATTGTTTCTGCTGGATAAAAATCTGTTAATAAATAAAGTCCTCAAGAAGAACAGCAATCATTGTTAGGCAAATATATTTTATTGTGATATCAATATAACATGAGCCAGGGCAACTCAGAATGCCCACCTTTGAAGCTATATGCCCTCCCAAGCTGAGGTAATTTTGGTCTTCCAAAAGGGCTGAGAAGTCAGGGCTGTGCCAACTGGCCTGGAGCCTCAGTGGGGCATGACATTTTGGAGGTGGCTAATAGATTAGATAGGACCCCTCACCCCACCCCACCCCCCGTGCGTTTTGTTCCTTTCTTCTCCATTGTGGTCAATTTTAATTTTCTTAAATTAAATTTAATATCTCTCATTATTGTTTTAATATTTTATACGGGCATTTTTTTTTTTTTTACTGAGGGATATTGAGCCTTTGGCAAGACGGGCAGCATCTAGGTTTGGTTAAATAAAATAAAATAAAATATTGGGACAAGACGGGGCAACTCCGCGTTCAGTGTAGGAACCCGTATTTAAGCATTTCATACCTATATAGATGACCATGTAAGCTTTGCTTCAACCTATCCAGTAAAGGATGTCTACCATCTCCTAGAGTATAGGATTCGTTCGTTGAATTTAATTTTTTCCTACATACCGTTGAAATCTGCCTTCTTATACCTTAAATCCATGCCCTACACTCTGGTCTGAACAACAATGGAAGACCACACAAAAGTAATTCAGAGAAATGTTCAACGGGTCTCCATTCATAAAATATAGACGTCCGTACGCATTTCACCTGTCCTGGCTTCACCCCTCTGACTTCTCTTCCTTTGCACAGCTTCAATTTTGATATTTTCTGAAAATCAACATTAAAGCAACCTTTGAGCCTGTGGCGTATACACACAGGATACGTGCACACAGCCCTTACAAGTTCCCTACTAGCTGCTTTCTAAGAACTAATCTACCTGCTCCAGGAAATCTCTGCATTGCAGCAGAAGCTGAGGCAATTCACTGGTTGCTCAAGAAAAGGGGAAAAGCATACGAGACATGCCCCCACTCCCAATTCATGGAAGACCCTCTGAAAAAGATGAACACTTACATTCAGGCTGCAAAAGGTGAAGAGTGGTGGATGGTGGCAGCGTCGTTCGATTTGCCTGGAGCTGTGCTAGCAATTCCTGGTAGTGCAATTGTGCCCTTTGGATCTCTTCTTGATCCACGGGGCCCCGGATGATTGGCGGCATCTCCAAGCCCAACCTCACTAGGATGCTCTGCTTAACAGCTTCTATCTGGAGCTGGACGTCATGACCCCTGTGTGGCCACGGATCCACTCTGGAAATGAAAAGCAGAAGCACCGTTCCCAGACCGGGGACAAGAGTCCTGAAGTAGCATGAGAGGAAGGCTGGCATTGTGCCTATTGCGATGACCGCGTCTTGGGGCAATTTCCCTAATTCCATCGATTCGAGAAGGTGCTTTCGCTATCGCTACTATCACCTGCGCTGAGAATGAATGAACTTGAACTTGACCAGATCTCTCTTTATAAAGATGAACTTCGACTGACTCACGTCGTCACTCTTACACTGGCGTCAAAGCAGTAAACATAACTGTGAAGAGGAATCCAGGCCGTTCCCTTAGAGAGTGTGGGGGGGAGGGGGGAGGCAAAAATTTCTCCTCCAGGGAAAATTTGACAGTGGCAAACTCTGTGGAATTTACAGTATGGGTTTCCCACTTCACCTTCTCTTCTGTAGTCATGGAGACAGACACATACAACGGCTGTCAGGTGGCTCTGTGGTTTTTGTTGTTTTTCCACCCCCACCCCCCCCAAACAATCGAACTGTATCACTGTCCAATGTCTCTGGGTGAATTTGAAAGTGTCCACACATGTCCACATAAGCAAGAGTCCTCGCTTGGGGTTGTGCACTAGCAACACAGTAACCCGTTTATTAGAGAATGCTCACCTCAGTGTTCCAGTGTGGAAAATCGCAGTTGCTTCATACTCGATGTCCAGTCAAGACAGGTGAGGAAGTAAAATGAAAGTAGAGAGGGAAATATGGTTCTTCCTAGAATGATCCCATTTTTTTGTGAAGCTGTTGTAGAACTTTATTTCTGTGCCAGTTGCAGGACAAGGATTAACCTTCTGGCCTCCTATAACCCTAGTTTCAGGGGTGGGCTGTTGGGGATTCGCAGGGGTTCGGGAGAACCTCTAGCTAAGATTCTGTGCAGTTCAGAGAACCCCTAAATCCCACTCTTGGTTGGCCTCGCCCACGCCATCCCTCCCCTCCCAGGAGTCCCCATCTGTCCCGTTTTGGAAGCAGATAGGTGCAAGGCATGCACGGAGGCTCAGAGAAGGTGAAAAACCGGAAGTTCGGGAAGGCCGGAAATGGGCCCATTTTCTGGCCTCCAGTGGGCCTCTGGAGGCTGGGGAGGCCGTTTTCGCCCTCCCAGATGCCCAAGGAAAGCCTCCGGAGCCCGGGGAGGGTAAAAATGCCCCCCCGCCGTGGTGCAGGAGGCCAACTAGGCCACACCCACCATGGAACCGGGCAGCCCTTGCTAAAACGTTTGAAGCCCACCCCTGCCTAGTTTTGACGGGAGTTGTTAGTGGAACAGGGCTTGGCACATCAACAGGCCTTAATCCTGTTAGCTTTATCATAGAAAAAGGGTACAGGTAATCTTCAAATTACAACTATTCATTTAGTTGCAGGATCCAATCTGAGTCAGTCACTGGGACCAGAGGTTTAGTCTTCTGAGCTTTCTGGAGCCCATCCTGAGGGAACTTCTCTCTCCCCAGAATGTGTCACACATTCACACATCATACATTTTGGTAAGAGGGAAGTTCCCTCAGGATGGGAACCAGCATGAGTCCAAAAGCTCGTAAGACTAAACACCCAGTCCTGATGACCGACCCAAATTGGATCCTGCAACATTATCCTAGGACACGTATATTTGCCTTCAGTCATTCGGTTAGTGATCATTTGAACTTATAACAGCCCTGAAAAAAGTGACTTACAACCAGTCCTCAATTTTATGACATCATAGCATCTCCCATGATTAAACCTGATTGCTTGGCAAGGACTGCCTGTATCTCCTTTTCATGCAAAACAGCATACTGTATTCATTCCATGGAAACTATTTATTTTGGAAATACTAGAAGTGATCCTTCACAAACCTCTAAAACAGCAGGATAGGGAACAAAAGTCCTGCGGTGTGGACTTCAACTCCCGGAATCCCTCACATCTTAAAATTGCCAAGTTTGAAAACACTGGTGTAGAATATACAGCATATAACTATGTCTGCCCCTTGTCTGAAAGCATATTACCAAAGTGAGAAAAGGCACAATAGCTCATCCCAACCCTAAATGGAATAATTCTCGTTTCTTCCAGAGGTGATTCATTCATTATTTGTTTATAATGTTTTCAATTGGTTTAGATTCTTGTATCAAATATGGTGAGGAATTTTTTTTGTCTCCCATGGATTGGAGGCAGCCAGTGGTGAGGTAAACCTTCCTTCAAAATCATTTAACCATAAGCCGTTAATTGTTGAAGAGAACATGTTGGGATCTAAAGGGAGCAGTGATGATTTTACACAAAGTTGCTCTGATCCACTGTTTGGAAGGTATTTCCTTCCAAACTGTCCCATCTTGTTTTATTGCCGTGCCTCGCTTGTCAACTGCTGAGGTGTTGGGTGGTCGGAGCTTTTCAGAAAGAATGTTCTGCAGCATGAAAGGATTCACCAACTGACCATATTGGAAGTGACTCAACTGCAAGGGCCTCTGAAACCTCATAAAAACATTTAGATGAAAATCAGACCTGAATATTTTGAAAACCCACTTAACATTCTGACACATACAGAAGGAAAGAATGCTGCTTCTCTTCTGTCTGCCAAATACCGTAGCTGGAATAACAGGACAACAGAGTTGGAAGGGTCCGTGGAGGTCTTCTAGCCCAACCCCATTCTCAAGCAGGAAACCCTATACCAATGATGGTGAACCTTTCTGGCACAGAGTGCCCAAACCGGAAGGCGCATGTGTGCATGACCGCACCAGAGTGCCAGAAAACCGACGATCAGCTGGTCGGCGAGCATGCGCCCCTTGGAAACCAGACAACCAGCTGGCTGAGCTGGGGCGACGGTGCGTGTGCCCACAGAGAGGGCTCTGCTTGCCACCTCTGGCACGCATGCCATAGGTTCGCCATCACAGCCCTATACCGTTTCAGGCAAATGGTTATCCAATCTCTCCTTAAAAACCTCCAGTGTTGGAGCACCCACAACTTCTGGAGGCAAGTTCATCCCACTGATTAATTGTTCTAACTGCCAGGAAATTTCTCCTTAGTTCTAGGTTGCTTCTCTCCTTGATTAGTTTCCGCCCATTGCTTCTTGTCCTGCCCTCAGGTGCTTTGGAGAATAGCTTGACTCCCTCTTCTTTGTGGCAGCCCCTGAGATATTGAAACACTGCTATCATGTCACCCCTAGTCCTTCTCTTCATTAAACTAGACATACCCAGTTCCTGCAACCGTTCTTCATATGTTTTAGCCTCCAGTCCAGAGGTGGGTTGCAGCAGGTTCTGACCAGTTCTGGAGAACCGGAAGCGGAAATTTTGAGTAGTTCGGAGAACCGGTAGTAAAAATTCTGACTGGCCCCGCCCCCATTTATTCTCTGCCTCCCAAGCCCCAGCTGATTGGGAGGAAGTGGGGATTTTGCAGTAACCTTCCCCTGGTTTGGGGACGGAATGGAAATTTTACAGTATTCTTCCCCTGGAGTGGGGTGGGAATAGAGTTTTTACAGTATCCTTCCCCTGCCACGCCCACCAAGCCATGCCACGCCCACCAAGCCACACCTACAGAACCGGTAGTAAAAAAATTTGAAACCCACCACTGCTCCAGTCCCCTAATCATCTTTGTTGCACTTCTCTGCATTCTTTCTAGAGTCTCAAATTTTGTTTTACATCCGGGCAACCAAAACTGGATGCAGTATTCCAAGTGGAGTCTTACTAAAGCATTAAAATGTGGTATTAACACTTCATGTGATTGTGATTGTATCCCTCTGTTAATGCAATCTAGGTCTGTGTTGGGTTTTTTTTGGCAATTGCAGTGCACTGTTGGCTAATATTTAAATGATCATATTAACAAAACACCCAGTCCTATTGCACACTGGTGCAATAGAACTGGGTGTTTTGTTAATATGATTTATTGGGTTAGGGATTTTCTGTCTTCACTGTGTGGGAGGGGAATGCACTGAGGGAGCTCAACCAATCTCATTGTACATATGTTGTACACTGACAATAAAGATTTGAAAAATTGTTCACTAGGAGAACAGGCAATTGGAGAATTCTGCTTTTAAACCTGTTGACCAACATTTGAAAATCAAACCTATCATTATCATAATCATGGTCACTGCTGTTATCATCATTAACCAATACAACAATAATGGTTCCTAATATACGGTGATACTCTGTGGAAATCCCATGGATGTGTTTGTGGATCCCATTTAAAAAAACAAGACAAAGCAAAATTAAAAAAAAAAGTCTCATGAGGTCATTAGAGTTTGCATATTTTGGGTAATCCTCAAATCTTGTTAATATGTGGGCATTTTTGCCTCAAATATCTCAAATTACCAGGTTGGGAACCTACCAAAACCTCATGGGATTTAGTGATTTTGAGAGACTTTGGTATTTTGGAGTTTCTCCAACCACATAAAGGGAAGTTGCATGTGTAACCAGTCCCACAATAAAAAACTAAAGAGTTCATAAATTTGTAATTCTCTGGCAACAAAAAAGATCAGGAGGAATCTGGTAGCATGTTTTCCAACTAACAATTTTTGTTAAAAGGTATAAGCTGCATCTCGTAAAAGCTACTTGGGAAAAAATGCTACCAGATGTTTTTGCCAGGGTCTATATACCAAAGACATTCAATCTTTCTAGTTATTTTTATGAGTTGTGGAAATAACTAGTTCAAATGGTTTAGGAAGCTATTTTTCAAAATGCAATGCATTCTTTAGTTCAGGATTGTGGTAGATAGCAAAGTTGCTGAATTATGGAGTCCTTGGTGCTCTCTGAGCTTGGTTGTTAGTTTGCAAACATTTCATTATCTGACTATGTGACATCATCAGTACCAGGGAGTGTGGATTTTCTGTCTGTTTATAAATAATACCTTGACCTGCCACTGTTAGTGGAGGTGTCGTTTTCTCCTTTGTAGTTCTTTGATTAGGGTATTGTTTTCTGTTGGATGGTTTGCTTGGTGATAGTCTGCTTATTTGGGTGATAGCTGCTGGAGAGGATGTGTTCTAGTCATTTAGTTTCCTTTCTAATTTTTTATTGTCTGTTTTGAATGGTCTATAAATATGATTTATTTCTATGATGGCTGATTTATCTGCATTACAAGCTTCTAGGACTTGTCTAGCATTTTTGGATTTAGCTTGGTCTCAGATGCTCAGACTTTCCCAGTTGAAACTATGGTTAAATTTG